AGGAAAATAAGTTGAAGGCCGGAGATATTGTGAGTTTCAAACGAAGTTTTGGAGTTGGAGTTGAAGATAAACAACTTTTTATCGACTCGAAGACCAGAATAATACGAAGTGAACAAGTAAAAGTGGTTAGATTATTTGGAGTGAATATATGCAAGGTTCAAGATGTTAGTAATAATGTTGTTGTTGAGAAAAATATGAGTGTTGGCAAAAGAATGAGGGAGATGGAGTTGTTGGCATTTGAGTGTAGCAAGAAACAAAGGGTTATAATTGATGCCTTGTGAAATTTTCTTATGTTTGTAATAATTTTCTTTTCCTTTTTGTACTTTGGCTTTTAGATGTTTTAATTGATATAACTTCCAATTGTATATTAGTACTACTAGAAAATAAAATGGCTCAAAAAGAGAGCTCATCAACTATGGTGTAAACATAGATGAAAATAGAGACAACAAATTAATTGATATGAGTCTCTAGCTTTTATATATGCTTTTTTTCCCTAGCTTTTATGTCTTTCAAGTTTCATGAGTTTGGGAACTAACTATCATGCTTTATTTTTGTAAAGTATTCTTCTTGATTTACCAAAAAGTATATCTATGATTGCCTATATATAACCTAACCTTTTTCATTTTTGAATTTTGTGACGTTATATTAAAGATATGTCGAATGTATTAAAATTTCATTAATCTTGTGATTTTAAATATATCATGTTAAAATTTAAAATTAAAGAGTTGTTAAAAAGAAAAGAATTTTTTTTTTCTAAACAGACTAAAAAAGAAAATTGGTCAAACAAATTGAAACGGTGTAGTATATTATAACCTTAATATGTATTTTTTTTATTTTTCTCGGTGTCTGGTACCTACATTGGAGTTCAACTAAATTCGAATTCGCGCTAGGAGGGGGATAAAACTCTTCCTAACAAAGACTCCTCCTCCTCCTTAAAAATAAAATATTACTTACCATTCTACCACAACCCTTATCGATTTAACTTTAATATGCATGATTCATCATGTATTTTGGTTTCTCCAATAATCGAAAAAGTACGAATTGATGCACTGAATCATATCCAGTTTTTGTAAAATATATATATTTCACTAAGGGACAAAATAAAAGTTGTAAATTATGTGTCCTTGGTTTTAGAATTAAGTCCTTTAATATTTGGGATTTGTCAACAATGTATGACACTCATTATACTTGTATTAGGAAACACGCTTACTCTTAAAGAGTTGTAATGAGAGTCTACGTAGTTATCATCATCGCTCGCTCGATTCAGCTTTATTACGACTTTAACAAGCGATTGATAGGTTAATATTTTCTGCACAATATTTAAATTAAACTATGCGAAATTTTCCTCTTCCCAAACGAATAGACACAATCTTTAACGAACATGTATGATTGCACTTGTTCATGCTCAATCCAATGGCTATAAATTGTGACGCTTTGCCTCAATTAATAATGATATAGTCTATGATATATATTTAAAAATCAAATATCAAAATTATTGAATCGAAATTTTAAATACCTTTAACGTAACATCAACACCACATGCTGAAGGTACCATTTCTGGGACAAATTAATAGTACTACTACACGTGTAACAACCAAAAAGATGCTGTACGGCATGTTTGTCAATTCCATCTTTTATGTATTCCCTCATAGTTTCTCTTTTCGAATTCGGAAGTGGTTTAAATTGACACGAAGTTTAAGAAAGAGTGAATTTTTTTTTAAACTCGTAATTTGAAATAATTGATAGATGTTTGTAGGACTATAAAATGAGTATTTTAAAGTAAAATTATTATAAAAAAATTATTATTCTTTTTGGGACTGATTAAATTTTGTTTTATATAAATTGAGACCAATATATTGAGATCTGTCTGCAATAAAATCTTAGCGGAAAAAAAAAGTTATAAAGTTGAATGTTTTACATTTAATATTGTGCTATTGCATATTATTAAAAAGGACTTAAAATAATTACATCACATTGAACATAATATTGTACAAGTAACATACACAGAGAATAAACAAAAAGATTATCGTCTTAGATAGTTTTGTTATTGAGATAACTATATTATAGTGCAATTTATAAAATTATTTTACATAATTTAATCAAAATTTTCAATGATTATTTCTATTGACTCGATGAAAGAGCTTATTTCACTTATTTATTTGTTTATTCTCCATTTATAATTATTTCAATGATGCAAAAAGGGAGAATAATATTGACTATATGTAATGATATAAAGATTGTACTTGAATAGCTTGGCATTGTTTGTAGCGTCGTATCAATATAGCTTGACATGATTTGTCATCATCAAAAAGAGAGTAATTGATACAATGTGTAGGTCCAGAGTCTGCATTTTTATAATATATATATTGGAGATAAGTAGCAAAAAGAGATTTTATCTTCTTGGCGAGTTAGTAGAACAGTTAGAGTTAACTATTCATGAGTTGAGGTACTAGAGTTAGTTAGATTATAGAGTTATAATCTGAAGCTGTTTTTTGAAGTTAGTGAGGTTTGGAGTTAATATCTTAAAAGATCACTCAATTTTAGGAATTAATCTAGCAAAGTCATCAAAGTTTGTTTTGTATCAATAAAATCATTCAACTTAGACTTCTGTATCAATAAAATCACTTAACTTAGACATTTGTGTTAGTAAAATCACTCAACAAAATTTATCATTAATTTTTTTTTATGTCATATAAAATAGACCCTACAAATAAATAAAATTAAAGAAAATTAATTAATTTTTTTTTATGGGTAAACTTAATTAGTGAAGCAAATACTCTTATGATATTATCTTAATTTACTAATTACTAAATAAAAAGAAATAATTAGGAGTTTTATTTATTGGTCTACTAGTGTATCTATTTCTTAGAATTAGCACAAACAAATTATTGATGAAATTTGCGTTCACAGATCTAATGAGGACTCATTAGACCGAATAAGAGTACTAAAATATTTAAAATTGTGACCTCAATTAATTACTTTCTAAATATAACACCTTTTTCTTCAACAATGCAAACTAAACAACAGTGCCCGAACAAAATTTGTCTTTTTTCTTTTGTAACTTTTTTTTTTTAAAAAAAAATATAAAAAAATAATTTTACATATTATAGTACTTTTCCAAAAAAAAAAATATATAAAAAAATAATTTTACATATTATAGTACTTTTCTTTTTAATCTTAAGCTTAAAATTATTTTGGCTCTATAAATCTTGATCTTTTTTTATAATATTAATTTTTCAACTTAATTTTTTGCTTTAACCAGTCAATTTTGTGTAAATGCTTTTTTTTTTTTGAAATAATAATAATAATAATAATGTCATGATGCTTACATACTTTAATATTATAAAAGTATTTATTCATTAATTAAGTTTGCTCGACAAATTTTGTTAACGATTTTAAATTTTTAAAATTTATTTATAGAGTTCATATTTATATGACATAAAAGAATAATTTATTTTGCTATGTCAAATGTTTTTTTAATGATAAATTTAGTTAAGTGATTTTATTGATACAAAAGTCTAAGTTGAGTGATTTTATTGATACAAAATAAAGTTCAATGACTTTTTTAGATAAATTTCCAAAGTTAAGTGACCTTTTGAGATATTAACTCGTGAGGTTTGGGTAGAAATCTTAGACAAGTAGATTGTGATTATTACGCACTTTCTTTTGTAATAATTTTTGTTTTATCAAGACGAATATAGGCTCAAATTTTAGGTGCAATGGGTTTGTTAAGGTCATTTTGATCGGTGTATGTCGAATCTAAGATTGGCACATTGAATCGTAGTTATAAGATTAATAAAAATTCAACAATATTAAAGTGAATCATAGGCGTAAGTAATACCTATAATTTATCTAAAATTAATTCAAATAAGTTACAAATTGATAAAGCGATCATATTAGAATCACGAGATTCGTAGGTGTCATGCCTTCTCTAGTCAACATAATTTTTAATCCAAAATTTATATTCGCAAACTAAGATAAAAAGTCAATATTTCATATTAAGTGGGAATTCAAATACGGTGACTTGAAACACCAAACCTCAATTTCAAGTGATGACTTTAAATAATAAATAATCTTTTTTGGAAATAGTATGTCAATTTAATTACTAAAAGTAAAGGTGAAAATAAATACGTCAAGAAAGCATTGATAGGAGATGTACACCATTAGATTGATTTTTCCATTTTTAAGAATTTGAAATCTATTCAAAGATGAAGATTAAGGTAATTTACCATGGTATTATATAATTACACTATTTCTTCAAAATATGAATTTAAGGATATCTATATTAATTATACATAATTATATTGTTTACTTAAAAGATGAAGATTAAGACAAAAAATTATACTTAATTATTCTCAGCTCCAAGCTAGTGTTAAAATTATGTTGAAGGTCCTATATGTATGTGTTATGCAAAGTTCCACTCATTATAAGAATTGTTTGTAAAATGACACATTAATCTTTTAATTAATCAAAAAGAAAAGGACAATGCTTAAATACAAAATGTTATAATTATTATGTGACTCAATAATGTATAATGATTGCTTTGTTAGTTTAATTTGCATATTTTCCTATTGATTTCATAAAACAACTCTTTTATTAAAATAATTTTCATTTTCAAGCATGTTTTTAATTTTTTTTATTAAATTAAAAGACATAAATAGAAGGAAAAAAAATTAATACAATATGTAATGAATATGTATGTTTCTTTTTTTATTGATAAGGACAAATTTGAGTAATTTTATATAATTTTGCCTGATTTCAACTAATATTTTTTCAAGATGTTTAGATTAAATTCACGAATTTAGGCATCTAAGCAATTTCATAAAAGTGGAGACGTAAATCCATCTTATCAAATTATAAAGGATGTTTATATAAATAGTAAAATTTAAATTGACCAAGTAATAAATTTGTAAATATAAAAGACAAAATAAAATTGTTATATAAATTAACATGTTTGGAGTATGTACTCATTGTATCTTTCTATCTCCTCTTGTTTAGGCATGGAAAGAAAGAGTTCTCCTATAAGGAAATCTGTTGAGATAAAATTTATCAAAGATAAACGTGCTGAGAGTGTTAGAATCTCAAATATGTTGAAAACTTTGTCTAAAAAGGCAAATGAGCTTTCTATCTTATGTGGAGTTGAGATCGCCATTCTGATTTTCTTGATTGGATCTCAACCATTTTTTTTTGGTAATCCTGATGTGGACTCAGTGGTCCACCAATATTTGGAGCTCAACCAACCAACTACACCTTCGTCTTATATGAAGAAGAAAAAAAAAGTGGAAGAAAATAAGGACAAAGGAAAATCTGTTGAAGATAATTTTACATATCGTATATCAGAAGATTCAAAGCTGACAGATGCAGAAAGACTTGAAAAATTAAATCAGGAGATCAAGAAACTTGAAGATCATTTGAATAAGGAAATTGATCTCTTACAAAATGCGATATGCTTTGAAGATCCAAAATTTATAGTTGAAATGGACGTAGCAAGTTCTTCGACTATACCACCTAATTGGTTGAGTCTTTAATTATAAATTTCAATATAGTATATCCAAATAATAATATTATTTTGGATGATGTTTCTTCATAATGAATTATAATAAAGAATGATATGTCTGATTATTTTGAGTATTAGAGTTTTTTTCTCCCAAGTGATACTACCATAAATTTATTATATGTTTTATGACTTGTGGGGCTGAATGACAGGGTCTCAAGAAATACAAATGCATTTCAGAGAAAAAAAGAAAAAGCTAAAAACTACAAATTTGACCAATGTCAACAATTGAAGTTAACAAACTTGAAATTAAAGTTTTAAAGTTTCTATGGGTTCAAATGATAATTTCGAACTTAGTATTTTTCTAAAAAAATTAAATTTATCAACCTCCTAAGGTCGGTATTCTTAATAGTTTTTAATATTTTTAAGTCTGATTTTGTTTTTTTAAATTATGGAACCAAAATTTTGAGGTTGATTTCGTCAAAATTCTGATTTTTTAAAAATTTTTTTACTCAACTCTTGCTGGAAGAGGATTTCTTTGGCTCAATTAATAGGCTCCGTTGGCTTCTATCATATGTTATACAATGATAGAAAATTGCATAAAAACATTTATATTAATTTTATTAAAATATTTACTTGAACTTGAGACCCAAATATTATATTTACTTTTCAAGAAATAGCATTGAGTCACACATTTTTATTTGAATAAAAACATATAATATATTATGAAATTAGAGGTTTAATTTGTTAATGAAAAATAATTAAATATATTATATATTAAATAGAACAGTTATAATTTTTGGAGCTTCAATATATTACTATATATTACATAGAACAATAATAAGAGTATCATTAGTGCTAAGGAGATGAAGAAACCAATTTTTTTTGAATATTTGACTTTCTTAACCAATTTAAAAGAAAAGATTTAAAATATTTGACTTTCTTAATCAATTTTAAAGCAAAGATTTTAATTATTTGACTTTCTTAATCAATTTAAAAGAAAAGATTTTAATTATTTGACTTTTTTGACCAATTTAAAAGCAAGAATTTATTTGATTTTCTTGGCCAATTTAACGTGTTATCTATTTGTTATAAATTTTCTTTGTCTAATACAATATTGGGTAGTGTCCTATTGTGTAGAGGTTAGAATTGTAAATGAAAAATGTCATATTTTAACCATAAAATAATATTCTTTCGAACGTCGCAAAATATTGCCAAAGAAGGGTCGTTGTTAATTTTATATCGCTTGGGGAAAAAAAATTGTCCAGACATGAAAGATTGCAAAAATATATAAAAGAGATGTGCTGAATGTTTCATATATTTATCCCTTTGTTTAACACATGTATATATAGCAAAACTTGAAATAATAAACTACCCAACTATCCTATATATTAGCTACCTTAAACAACATATTTGTAGTTACACGAAGTAAAAGTGGAAAAAATCACAAACTATCCAACTATCTCCTAATTGTTAGTTACCTTAAATAACAAACTACTATTTACATGGAAGTACAGGTGATGCCTATCCCTCAGCATGCCTGTTGGATGACTAGGAAGATTTTGGAAGCTAGGATGGTGTGGAATAACTGCCAGCTAATGAATCAGCAGTCTATTACTAGAGACCTTTACTTAAGATTGATAGGGGATGGTATAAGGGTTCCCTGGAAGTGCTTAATGTTCAGTACTACTGCTCAACCAAAGGCTGTGTTTATTATGTGGTTGCAGTTGCATGCTAAGTTGCTCACTAAAGATAGGTTGCTGAAATGGGGATCCAAGGTGGAGCCACAATGCATGTTGTGTCAAAATGAGGATGAAACTCGCGATCACTTGTTTATGAAGTGTTCTTATACTAGACGACTATGGGATGAGATTGCTAGATGGATGCAGATGTCGTCTGATATAGGTGGGAATTGGCAGCAACACCTTACCTGGGCTCTGAAGAATGCAAAGGGGAAGACTATAAGAGCTCAGATCTTCAGAATGGTATATGCTGAAGCTGTCTATGCAGTATGGATCGAGAGGAATCAAAGAGTGTTTGAGTAGAGGACAAAAGGAGCAGATAGGATTATTATTTGTAATGTTAGGGCCTCTTCAAAGACTAGGCCTTTAGTTCAGTCTTGGTTGGTATAAGAGTGGATGTGAGGATTTATGTGTATAGCATGTAGAAGAGAGTAAGGATAGTGTCTATTTAGTTTTCAGGATCTAGCTAACTATGGATATTGGCTGCTTTGTATTGCTTTACATGTGATTAATGGAAACAAGTTAGTTACCTAAAAATATAAAAAAATAAAATAAGGAATCTGTAATTTCCAGATAGAAAAACAAAACTAAAACTTAAAAATAAGAAAAGAAAAACTGGTGTGATTCTACTATGTTAGTAAACTTTGTTTCGTCTAAAAACATAGTCCCTTTTAACCTTTTTCATTCTTCTTTGTTACAAAATCATCATCCTCGAGCTTCTTCATCGATGAGTCTTTAATAAATCCAACAACCTCCCTCAAATTGGACGGGGAGGAACGAACACTCAACTTGTTCAATAGGAAATGATGAGAAGTACCAGGTAAGGGCTTAGTAAACAAATATGCTACTTGGGATGAAGATGGAAGAAAAGAAAGAGAAATCAAACCAGTGAGGTATTGTTGACGGACGAAGTGACAATTTAAGTCAACATGTTTCGTCCGCTCATGAAAGACAGGATTTTTAGCAATATGAATTGTTGCTTGGCTGTCTGAATGAAGAGAAATTGGTAGTGCAGGAGGCAGAGACAGGTCGGAAAGGAGACGAACTAACCACGTCAGCTCAGTAACAACCCTTTTCATCGATCTGTACCCGGCTTCAACGGATGAAAGGGAAAGAGAAGGTTGTTTATTTGATTTCCATGAAATAATGGAAACTTGAGTCTCAGAAGATGTGGGGACTGTTGACGCCCAATTTTGACCCTCCCCAATATAGATTAATCATCGAGCTTCTTCAATTTTAAATGATCTAAAAATAATTAGTTTTTATAAATTTAAAAAAAAAAATGTGATTGCAGGTTATTTTATGTAAGTTTTGTCACTTATTTTAATTTTTAGACAATATTTATATTTTACATATTTATGTATATAATTAGTATATTTTATGAACATGCGAAAATCGTCTCAAAAAGATTATATTTTGTTTTAATTAAATAACTGGCTAATTAGTTTAATTTTTTGACAGTTTATAATTTTGAGTGAATATTTTATAATTGAGTTAATCATTTTTATTTCGATGACATTTAGAAGCTCATTAATTAATTTATATTAATTCATCTTATTTAGCTTTTTAGTCGAATCACCAATTAAGCTCAATTTGACTAAATTCTTAAATCTAATCGAACTTAATTGCAATCTATATGGCCAAATCCTCAATTCAAAACTTAGCTTTTTTATTACAAACACAACCAACCCTTCTACCCACCTAAACCCATTTGTGATAAGACCAAAATATTGGGCCCTTTTTTATTTTCTTCAGCCCAAGTGCAATTTTTCAGCAGCCTTTTCCCACCCTTAAATTCCTAACCCATCAGCCCACAATAGAAAAGATCCAACAATTCCATTCAACAATACATCAACAGTAGCAATACGTACATACCCAGTACCCCGACCCCTGTACTCTTCGTACTTCTTCCTTTTCACGCAGAAACAGTACCTCGACCCCACTGCCCATATTCGTCTTCTTTCTTCCAGACGCAAACCCAAAAACGTCAAGGCAACGGTAATCCGAAATGTCAACAAATAGCAGCTTTCTATGCAACAACTGCCCACCCAGCTTTCTCAGCCGGGCACATAAAACAGAAGCACAGGGCTGGAAAACAAAAAATGCGGATCTTTATTGCCAAAAATAGGTCGTATACACTGATATACAGGCCAATATACATCCTGTATATATTTGGTATACGTGATACAGGTTGAAAGGCAGAATTACAGCGAAAAGGGAGCAGAATTACAGCTCTCGGGAGTTAAAAACTGAGTTATATACACTGATATACGGACAATATACAGTTTGTATATAAAAATCAGAATTGAGCCAAAGCCCAAAAAATCAGCAACTTTGGGCCCAATGTTTCTGGGCAGCAATAGGCCCAAAAGGCCCAAATTCCTCTCCTTCTCTGTATTATTTTGTTGTAATTGTTTTTTTTTGTTTCATTTTAACTCTAACATTTGATTTGATTTGGTTTAATTTAATTAAATTCCCCAAAAGACGAACCATATTCTTTATGTTAGTTTATTTTATAAAAATTCATTTTCAGTCAACTTTTATACTTTCATTGAATATCTTTAGTCAAACTTTTTATTTATTCTTTAATTAATTTAAAATAGTTTTCATACCTTAATTACCAAATTGGTTTAAATTATTATTTTAAAATGATTCAATAATTCCTAATTAATCTAGTTTTCTTAAAACCTTAATCACTTGCATTTTAATTCAAATGTCTCATTTTATGTCCCTTTCCGTAAAATAAAAATAAAAATGCGTCATTTACTTAATTATTTTCTCAAAGTTAATCAAATATTGTAAATTATTACTTTTTATGTTAAATCATTATTTCCCTAAAAACAGTCAAATATATTTCAATCAAGTCGCAGGTCAACAACATGTTAGCGGACACTTCGAATGCTTAAACCCTTCTCGAAGTGTAAATTGAACCCCGAACCCTCTTTGGTATTTTCAAATGATTTTTTTTGTTTAAATTTTTGAAAATTATAAGTTTTCTTAATTTCTTAAAAAAATTAAGTGGTGACTCTTTTCTAAGTATTTTTCTCGAATTGTTTTATACTTAGAACATTTCAAAAAGTGATTTTTCCAAAGGATAGTAAAATTACGGCACAACAGGGACATGATCTCCCATTGTAACAAATTATAGAGCAGGAATAAAAATGAAAATAGGAGGAAAGATTTAAAACTTGACTTCTGATACCATGAAAGATTACAAAAATATATAAAAGAGATGTGTTGAATGTTTCATATATTTATCCCTCTATTTAACACATGTATATGTAGCAAAACTTGAAATAATAAACTACCCAACTATCCTATATATTAGTAACCTTAAACAACATACTAGTCCTATATACTAGCTACCTTAAACAACATATCTGTAGTTACACGAACTAAAAGTGGAAAAAATCACAAACTACCCAACTACCTCCTAATTGTTAGTTACTTTAAATAACAAACTACTATTTACATGAAAGTAAAAATAAAAACAAGGGATCTGTAATTTCCAGATGGAAAAACAAAACTAAAACTTAAAAATAAGAAAACAAAAGCTGGTGTGATTCTACTATGTTAGTAAACTTTGTGTCGTCTAAAAGCATAGTCTCTTTTAACCTTTTTCATTCTTCTTTGTCATAAAATCATCATCCTCGAGCTTCTTCATCGATGAGTCTTTAATAAATCCAACAAGACATTTTGCACTTTTAATTTGAGACAGTTACTTTATTGATATAAATCTATAAAATGTCATTGTGAAAAAGAAAAGAAAATCAAACAAAAATTTGAATCTATTTGTGCAATCATACATTAGCGTTGAAAATAGTGATGAGTAATATTTTAAACGGAAAAACTCAAATATGTCATCAAACTTTGAGAAAAAGTTCATTTATGTTATTCGTTAAAAGTTTGATTCATCTATGTCATTTTTGTTTGAGAAAAAACTCATCTATGCCATTATTTGTTAATTGAAATAGCATAGATAAGCTAAACTTTAAACGGATGACATATATAAGTCTTTCCTCAAAGTTTAATGACATATTTGAGTCTTTACTTCTTAAAATAATTTAATTAATGATATAATCAAATCATAAGTGACCACATGTATTGATTTCACAAAACTATTTTTTTCTTTCAATTCTCTTATTATATAAGAGGGAGTTCGTGCTGAAGCAGACATGTCTCCGTCAATGTGCCTGTTTTAGCATGTTTTGGAAAAAAATAATTAAAAATTTACTTTTTTATTCTATTTTAATTTAATTAGTGTATAATTTTTTCGAAATTATGAAATCCGTTTTAGCTATGACTTTTAGTTTTAAATTCATATTCTTTAGTTATTGCTTTATTATAGTGAATGTCGATAATATTTGTTTATATCTTATAACTACTTTGAGTAAAAAATCAATGATCAATGACGAAAAATACTTTAATTATAGACATCTAAATAGACCTCTTCAAAATAAATTTACACAAACAAAAAGTAATTAAGCACTTAAATATCTAAAAAAACATATTAAATTTAATCAACTTTCTAAATTCTACCTATATCATATAAATTAAAATAAAAAAATATTAAAATATTGGATCCGTACTAGGTACGGACACATGTCTCTAGTTTTTATGATATAAAAGAAAGTTTGGCTCTCTCAAGAATAGGATGGACCCGATAGGTATTAGGGAAAGAAAATCAAACAAACATAAATGACACTTTAATTTGTAGAAGAAAGTCAAATGAAATTTTTATTTTAAATTGGCCACAAATATCACATAAAATCTTTGATTCTTTATCTCACTAACTTTAATAGTGAGAGTTTATTAACAAAAAGTAGCTATCTTATTCATGGTTCACCCTCTATCTTTTTATGCACGTGGCACTAATTATTGTATTTTATTCAATTCAAAATAAGTAATATTTTATTTAATAAATATTTGATTAAAATATTAATGCTGGTCATTAAATTTAATTTACATAAAATTAGAATTATATAAAATGACCATTTAAAATAGTCAAGTAATCTCACAATTTCCCATATAACTTTTGTTCAAGTCTTTATTAACTAACAACACTTGCCTCAAATTTTAAATGAAGGGCTAAATTGTCCCATTTCAAATTCAAAATTGATTCATTCCCCTTGTTTTGGAGTAATTATTAGCATTATTCACTTGTTTTACAAAGATGATTTTACAAGAGTAGTAATAATTCAATTATCTTAGTGTTTTGATGTTAGCAATTAAATCAATGTTAATGATTTTGTGATCCTTAAATAATTATGAATTGTGTATTTGTAAATCTCAATCTTGACAAT